TCAGAAACCTCCAAAAGTTGACCATCTGGTTATGAGTCAAAGCACATAGGAAATCACTGAGATGTTCTTGGTAGCTCATAGTTAAATGCCATAATCAGTGTTATCAGCAGAGAGAATTTATACAAAGAAATCTTGAAATGGTGTTGGGAGCAGAATGAGTCTCGCTATGCTCTTATGGAAAAGGAAGAACGTTCCTGGTGAGATGGCATATTCAGTGTGTGGAGTTAGGGCTGGGAATGTAGGGTGGCGGCACAGTGCTTGTGTAGCATTCATGAAGCTGTGGGTTCAGTTCCCAGCACCACAAAAAATGTGAAACCATGTAGGTGTCAAGCCCACTTAAAAATTTATTTTTATGTGTATAAGTGTTTTGTCCGCATGTACCTAAGTGCACTTGTGCACACAATGCCTAGTCATCATGTGGACACTGTGAACCAAACCTGTGTCCTCTGCAAGACCAACAAGTGCTCTTAACCACTGAACCATCTCTCTAGCCCCATCTCAAATCTGTTTTTTAAGGGTAAGGAAGGGCAGTATCTGCATCAAGAGCTTTTAGAAACACTATACCCTAAGGAGATGGTCAATGAATATTTGCAAGTTAGTTACTTGAGGATTACCAAGGATAAAGAATACTAAACAGGCTGGGTATGGTAGCACATGCCTTTAGACCCAGTGCTCAAGAGGAAGACCCTGTTTCCAAAATAAATAAATAAAATAAATAAAACCAGAAATAAGAAACAAAACAAAAAAGCTAGGCAGCAGGATGAAGGTTGTAAGATCCTTATTTGTTTGGTAACAGGAAATTGAATTTTGAGATAATTTGGGGGGGGCTGCTTTAACTGGGTGCATGTTTAAAATTCCCCCAAGGGCTGCAGCCTTTTCTAAGGCCTATGACTATTTGTTGTAGAAAAATCTCTCTGCTTGAAGAGAACTGGAAACTGTGTTTGTCACATGTGATGCTTTGCCACTCATTTGAAGATAATTAGCATGTTGGACGTGACCTCTGATTTTTGTTAATTAACCTAATCTATAATTAAGCAATGTGAATTTTGTTGCTAAGTTGCAGAGGGAAGCCTCTCGTTTTAAAAACAGTTTTCAACATTAAGAAAGCCATGTTTTTCGCTTTTATTTTTTATTATTTTATTATTTAGATTTTTAAAAAAGATTTATTTTTATTTGTGTGTGTTTTTGTCTCTCTGTGTTGTGCCATGTGTGTGCAGATATCCACAGAGGCCAGAAGGGGGCACTGGATGCCCTGGAGCTGCAGTTACAGGAAGTTGTGAGCTGTCTAATGTGGGTGCTGAGAACCCAACTCAGATCTTCTGGAAGAGCAGCAAGTGCTCTTAACCACTGAACCATCTCTTCAGCCCTTATTTAGATATATTTTATTTTATTTTTAAATATTTTATTATTTTATATGTATGAATGTATTGCCTGCATGTATGTGAGTGCACCCATGTCATGCAATGCTGCGGAGGTCAGAAGAGGGCTTTGGATTCCCCTGGAACTGGAGTTAAGGATGGTTTGTAGCACCATGGGGGTGTTGGGAATCGAACCTGGGTCCTCTGCAAGAGCAGTCAGTGCTCTTAACCACTAAGCCATTTCTCCAGCCCCACCTTATTTAGATATAAAGACAGGGTTTCCTATAGCTCAAACTGGTCTGAAACTTGATATGTAGCTGAGGATGACCTTGAACTCTTGGTTCTCCTGCTTCTACTTCCCAAGTAGGCATAAGCCACCATGACCAACTGTTTGCTTATTTTTTAAATTAATTTTTTAATTGAATTTTTTTGTGTATTTCATACAGAACAGCTCAAACAGTCTTAATCATCTTTATACCCCTGTCCCCACTGGCACCCTTCCATAGTCCCCATCCACTGGAGCCCATATACTCGGTCATCCTTGTTAAGGCCCACTGGGTTGTCAGTGTCCCCAGCCGTTCCCCAGCACAAGTCCATCCACTAAGTCTAGACCTCAATCTTATCTAAATTTGTTTTTTAAGATGAACTCTCACTATGCTGCTCATGCAGGTCTCAAACTCCCAAGCTCATGTGATCTTCCTGTGTCAGCCTCCCAAGTATCTGAGATTACCAGAGCATACCAGCATGCCTGACTCAAAAAAACCTCATTTACAGCTTTCTTTTTACAAGTTTATAAAATAGGAACAACACACAAAGGAGAAAACACAGGTGGGTCTTCAGAAGAGCTAGAGTAGTATCTGCAGGACTACAGGTTCCTAGAAAGCGTGTGTCAGGGCTGGGTAAAGGAATCTTGGTATGATTTTTCTTCAAGGTTTCTATAGGCAGTGCATTGTCTCTTCTCCCTGCGTAACTCCGAGAGGAGCAAGCCAAATGGCAAAAGTGGCCCATGAACATTTGCCATGTTTTGTCCTGTAAAGGGGAAGTTCTTAACCTACTTGGATAATTTACATCCAAGAGACCTTAGGAAAGTCTGCTGGTGGCTGGAAATCAAGTTCATGGTAGTTAGCTTAATAGTTTTAAAGTTTCTTTTAAAATTGAATTTTTGAAAATGTCATACACTATATTTTGATCATCTTTAACCTCCCTCCCTTATCTGCACCCCCTTACTGCTTCCCGCCTGATAATGTGTGTGTGTGTGTGTGTGTGTGTGTGTGTGTATATATATATATATATATATGCCTATCAAGTGAAATTTGTGTCCCTAAATGCCCTTTGGTGTGGGTCCATCCACTGGAGCCTGGTTAACCTACCGAGTCACACCCTGAAAGAAGACTGACTCTCTCCCTCCCAGCAGCTATTAAGTTACCAGTAGATCCTTAGCTAGGGTTGGAGTTTCTTCCCCACTTCCCCACTTCTATGCTGGGATATTTTTCTGGCTTGAGCTTATGTGGGACTTGTGCATGCTGTCACCATTGCTGTGAGTTCATATAAGTAACTGACCAATTGCCTGGAAAACTGTTTTCTTGTGGTCATCTACCACCTATGGCTCTTACAATCATTCTGCCCTCTCTTCCTCAATGATTCTTGAGCCTTGGGAGGCAGCAGTTTGATAGAGGTACTCTGTTCAGGAATAGGTACTCTGTAGTCTCTTATTCTCTTGCACATTAGCCAGTTGTGGGTCTCTGGGTTAATTACCATTTGCTGCATGAGGAAGCTTCTCTGGTGAGAGTTGAGAGTCACATTAATTTCTGGGTATACCAATCAGTCATTAGGAATCAGTTTAATACTATGTCTATCTAACAGAATATAAGTAGTAGGCTCTCCTATATGGCCTGTGACCTTTTTAGACATTGCCCTGATATTAGTGTCAGGTATGGACAGCTATGTACCAATTCATTCATCCAATATGTATTGAGCATTTTCTATATGCAAGGATTCTGTGCTGCTTGGGACACATGGTTTGAAACCAAGATCCCTATTCCAAAGGCATGGGATGGCTGCAGTGGCATGAGATAAGATGACCAAAGCGGTAAGCAAATAAGGGTGAGTTCAGATGTTATTGGCTGTGGGAATAGAGCGGGGAACTATCCTGACGTGTCCTGACTTTTTCAGGAAAAAAATGAGGATTGTCAAGTTGGAGAAGGGAGAGCAAGATGCTTTTGATAGGTGATGACTGTACCAAAGATTCAGAGATGCTCAGAGGCAGCTCCCAATGCATAGCTTTCACTGACCCCTCCCCAAACCTCCAATTATCCTTCTTAGGTCACACCCAATAACCATCTAATCTAAAGCAGAGTTTTAAATCAACTCCCTCACCCCCAATTCCAATCTGATTATTGTCTCTAAATAAGAAGGCCTGGAGGGGACACTCTGAAAGACTTATATTTTGGAAGTTTGATAGGGAAGTGAGGAGCGATAGACTGTATAGAGTTGAAACCAACATTACAGAAGAAATTTTGTCAGAGTTAAAAGATGTCTGTTCTGGGTTCTCCCTGTGTCCACCCTGAAAATTGAAGTCTGATGATATCAAGAATCCTGTCTACTGCGATCACTTACTTGTCTCCACCACTCACTGCAGTATCTGCATCTAATAGACACACAGGCATTATTTTAAGGATGAGTGAATTCATGGATAAATGAGCAACTGTGAATATTGGTGAGTAAACATTATTTTATTTATAATTACAGAAGGAATGATTGTTTTGCTCAATCTCGCCCACTGAAATAAGTTTGAAGAGCCATTCAATTACATAGAGTAACTGCCCACTGTTGAACTATGGATATGATCCAATTCCTCGAAAAATAAGCATGTGCTTTATCAAAACAGAGTTTCACTGGACATTAAGTGGTGTCCTAGCAGATTTCTCCCTGACAACAGAAAAGTTTCCGAAGCCAGCGAGAGTGACTCACCTTTTCATTTCTAAAGACTGCTCCTTCCAGCTCAAGTATGATATTTGCTTAAAGGATGAAGCAGGCCCCATTCCAAATAAAATGACATCGGATGGCTCTCTGAGGATGAACATTTTATTGGAATATAGGCACTTGACAGAGTAAATATATGGTTACAAAGTGTTTTCAGTTTATTTGCTTTATATAGTGAATGCAAAAATAAAACCACAGTATAGAATTGTTTTTCTCAGAGTTGCAGACTTCAAAAAGCAAATCCCCAACCGTGTGTGTTTATGGTAAAGAAGGCACACGTCATCAACTTTCTCATCTACTGAAACTGTGTTATGGTTTAAGTCAGTGATGTAGTTCCTTTAGCAATACTGAAATCACTATCTAGTGTATATCACATTGCCTTTTTTTTAAAAAAAAACAGTTTTGGGTTGAACCCAGAACTTCCAGCTTACTAGGCAAGCACTGTACCCCAGCCACATCCTCAGCTCATTTACCAATATATATATGATCAAAATCACTTTGGGAGAATTGTAAAATCCTCTGAAGTCAGTGGCTCTAATCTGAAGACTTATAAGGGCAGACTTGAGAATCTATAAAACATATGGAAAGTCAGACCTGAAGACCTGCCATTCTTCACTTTCAAACCAAATTGGAATCTTATGCTGTGGATTCAAATAAGGATTAAAATTTTTTTTTTTTTTTTTTTTTTTTTTTTTTTGGAAATTTTACTCTGCATAATGCAGTACACTACCGTGCCAGGCTACGTAGGAGAAAATAACAAGCCAACATTTTTCCTTCAAGGAAAATTTCTTTCTTTGTTAAAGGTCAATAGTAACATAACTGGTTTAAAGTCCTGGAGTTTTTGCCAAAAACTATCCATCTCTAATGGCTTTGCCTAGGTCAGAGATTTCCCATTCGGATCTCAACCACCTTGCTGCCACAGGGAAACACCAGCACACACACAAATTGACAAAACCCAAGATAAGCTTTCAACAAGTTCCCATAAGCACATTTTAATGCACCTCACTTCCCTTTCCCATCTTCCAGTGCAGCAGCTGTCCTGCTTATTCTTGAGACTTTGTCCGTTTGAAATATGTACAGAAGAGCTCTTTGTGTTTTCTAGGACATTGTGCTGCCTAGTGCCTGGTTCTCTCTGGCCTTCATGAGTGGCACTGATACTCATCCAGCCAATGCTGAGAGCTCTCTTTTGCTCTCAGCTCTCCAGAGATAGGAGAAGTCTTAAGGTGAGCAAAAAGGGGAAGATGGGAAGTTCTGGAATGGGGTTGCCCTGATCTAGGAGTCCATGGTGGCCATGATTCTCCTAGGGAGAAGGGAGCCTTTGTTGGATTAGACACTACTCTACGGGCTGCCTGCCTTTCTGGGCAGTACTTCTAGCCATTTGGCCATCTGCCCCTTTGGCTTTGGACTTTATTTATGGGAATACTCAACAAGGTCAGAAAGCCTAATTAAAAACATCCCCCGGCCTAACAGCAAGCCCCAAATAGCTCCTGTACAGCAGCATGCTGGCTGTTCAGTTCCCACATCTCCTGAGCAGTATGAAACTTGTCAGCTCCTGTGCTAGGCATTGGGATAGTAAAGTTACTTGGCATGCAGGAAGCCATTATTCAAGGCTGTGGGTTTCTAGCAGGAAGCACAAATGATGACTAATCCCTTTCTGTCCTTGAAGAAAGGAGCTTCTGGGAGAGATAGGAAGTAAACAATTTCAGTACACCAGGCTCAAGGTCAGGTAGGAGCAAGCACTGAATAAGCAGGGACCTCGGGGCATCAGCCAAACCTTCCTCACCTATGATGGGATCTCTCATAAGCACTAAGGGTCCAAACACTCTAAGAGAATGTGAAACGATTTAATATATGAAACCATGCTGACACTGGTTGTTACTCATCCTTTATGACTAAGAAATCTAAGAAATTTTTCATGGGAAGGGTGGGGAGGGTAATAGCTTAATTCCTACTTAAATGGCTGAAGTGTAGGACAACGTCTTTAAAGAAGGTATTTGAAGCTGATGAGTAAAACAAGCTCTAATGTTAAAATTTGTGGAGGGAAGCTCTGGTTCTGCTACCTGAGACTGAAACTTTTAGGGAACAATCTTGGGTTTTCTGAAGGACAACAGAATACATCTTTTTGATCTGTAGCAAGTAAGTCTACTATATCTCAAATATTAGCAGGTATGGTTTGCAGTCTATTAAAAGATATGTTTATTTGTTTCCATCTAGAAAGAAGGAATAGTGACCTTCTTACCATGGTGCCCTTAGTGTGGTACCTAACACAGACTCAATTAATTTATCCACTGATGAAATGATTTACACTTTTAGTAACAACTTTGGAACTTAATGACATATAGTTGGTGATTCATTCATTTCTTCATTCATTCATTCATTCATTCATTCATTCATTCCCTTCTGAGAATAAACCAGGACTGTGAATGGAAAGAGAAAGCTGTAGTGGTTTGAAATTTAAAAGTTGGAAGAAATTTTTTTTCTTCTATACTAAATTCTCATGAGCCTTATAATTTATATGAGGCAAAGTACCTTATCTTATTACTATGCCTAACACAGCATGTAGTAGCTGTTCAAATAATGTCAAATAATTGGTATGTTTTGAGCACAATAATTTAGCCAAGCACTTTTCACAGTCCAAGGCTAATGTGGAAGACTTTCAGGCTTTCATGTGCCAATGAAATTTCCTTGCCTCTTCTGAATTTTCTTAGGTGAGTAATTGATATAAATCAACAAGATTAATTAACAAGGGATGGATAACAGGATCAGGAACAGGCCCAGATAGTCCCACAGACCAAATCCTTCCTTGGATTTCTGCTCAGCATCTCCTGAGATTTACCAGGCATGGCTGGCTCTGGGGAGCTGCACACAGCAGAGGTGCCTGGTGTTCATGACCTTCCCTTTCTTGCAGCCCGACTATGGACAAATGCTCCTTATGAGCTGCCTAGAAGCTGATGGAGCAGATGGCAAGGCTGGAGTTACAGTAGACATTTGCATTCTTACTAAAAATGAGAAGGCCTTAAAGTGAAGCAAAAATTGTACCACTAAAATGTGAAGAGAATATCGAGAAGTGTGCTCCTGCTGTTTCAGTCCCCACTGCAATGTTGCCCTCATCTCTGGAGTCCTTTTAGCTATTTTTTGCCCCAAGTACTCAAGCGCTTTTGTAATCGCTATTAAAATTCTAAAGCAATCATTCATGGGGAGCAATTCAGTTCCCCAAAGTCAGCCTCAGTGCTTATGCCCTGTATATATTTCTTCTGGCATTGTTATTCAAATTAAGGAATCATATCATAAGTTTTATAGAATTCACATGCAATCCCCTAAGTATACCATAACTATAACCCTTTGACTGACAGTTTTCAATGAAAACCTACAGCCAAATTGTTCCTACCACTCCTCTGAGGGCTGCTCTGAGGCGCTCACATCATGATTATGTACATCTAGGATGTCGGTGTTTGGAGCATCCTCTACCACCCACTGGCACTCATGGACATGGGCAGCCTGGACCTCCTCTGTATCCACAGCTTGGACTGAACTGCTGTCTGCCCCTATCACTTCTTGTTCCTCAGAAACTTGAGGTATCTCATTCTTCTCCACGGGACAGATGGGGTCAGAACTTGAAGTGGCATATTTTTGCAGCACGACCTCACCCTGCACAGTAGGGAGAGCCTCGCCTCCTTCATGGGTGTCCTGTGTGGAATCTGTGGCTGGGAGCACCCTCCCAGTGGACTCCATAGCCTCAGTGGGCTCTAGAGCTTTGGCTGGCTCCACCATGGAGCCTGTGTAGCTGGTGTCCTTGGTGAACTCTCCACCAGTGGACTGAGAGGTAGGGCTGCTAGCTTCCAGAAATGTCCCCAAGTCCACTCCAGGAGCCTCCACCTCCAGAAGGGTAGGATGGGCCTGCCTCTCACTGACTTCACCTTCTTCACTGTTGTCCTGATGGACAGAGGCAGTCTGACTGGCCTCTGGGTAGATCTGGCCTTTTTCCTCTTCTTTTTCATTTTCTTGGGGAGCAAGTGTCTCATCGTATGTGTCTTTTTCAATTTCCGGGGTAGGCTCCACTGGCACTTCAATGGTCACGGTCAACAACTCTCTCAGCTCCTTCAAGGATCCTGAGGCAGTAACGGATTCTGGTTTTCTATGGATGTGTTCTTCATCCTCAGGGGTCCCCCCAACTTTCATTTCTGACAAGGATGTACTGAGGGTTCCTGCCACATCCTTTGTAGCTGCAGGATTCACAGCAGGGTTATCCACACTGGATGTAGTCACCTGCCCATCTGCAGCTGAAGGTGGACTGGGCTCAGGGCAGAAAGGGCTTTCTTCTCTGACCAACAAGCCAGGCATCCCAGGTTGCTTCTTTTCCTCTAGCTCCTGGAACACTTCATTATTTGGGGGCTCATTGTCTGGAGCTCCTGGTAAAATGGAAGATACTTTCTTGGCTGGACTAGCCTGGTTTGACCCTATGGAGGTTTTGAGATCTGTCAGGCTAGATACACTTTCACTGGGCAAGGCCACGTTATCTTCAAACAAGTTGTGTTTCTTCAAGATAGCAGCCTCCTTTATCACTGAACGATACCAGAAAACAAAATAAGGCATTAATACTCTGCTAGAAAACCGAAGTTTGCTGATTTTATATAGAAACAAAGCATCCCCAGTAGCTCCCCCAGCTATCCAAGTTCTGACTTTGAAGACCCAGCTTACGCCTACTGTCTCCTGGATATCCTTCCCTAACGACCAAGACCCACAAACTTTCCAGTCTCCAAATCTTGATAGTATTCATTCATCCATTTCTTCAAACAGGAAATTGCTAAACATCTAATCTGGGACCAGCATTAAGAATCCAGGGGAAAATAAAGCCTTTGCTTTAAAAGAGTTCATGGTCTATAACAGCATCACAAGCATCAGTGTTGCTAAGATGTGTGGCTAGTTTGGAACTCCTGTAGCACAGAGACAAGTCTTACACTTTCCTGCTTTTGCTAACAGTGTGGTCCTGAATGTGTAGTAGGTATTCAGTACTGAGTGCACAGCTGAAAGAGCTTGGTTGACCTGTAGTGTTCAAGATGAGTACCTACATGTACCTAACTCATCCTCAAAGGCACAAAAAGAGCAATGACAGTAACAACAGACACAATAGCAGCTGCCAATTTGACCACAGTCCTCTGCTTATATCTGTGCAGGGATGTAGTACCCAGCAATACCATTTCCAAGGGGGTGCCACTCATGTCAGAGATCACATGATTTGTGTATTCATCATAATTTTTCAGTGGTCAGCACTAGAATCTTGCTCTAACAGACAGTATATTATAGTAATTTTCAGACAGAGGGGAAGGTGAGTGGGAATCACCCACTCCAAAGGGATTTAGAGAGGAATCTTCTTTCAATTCACACCTAAGTGTTTGTGATGGGCTGTCCATGGTCTTGAATGGGTCCTGCTTTTGTGTAGATACCATGGCAACACCTTTACCTTCTTCATCTCCATAGCTACTGTGACCAGAGGCTTGTTCTGGACCAGTTCCTATGTGGAACTGTTTTAGTAATAGATATTAAATAAGTTTCATTCCCACAGCCTGATGGCGGCTCCCTCCAGAGCATTTTCATCAGTGTCTACCTTCGTGCTCTAAGCCCAGGCAAGGTCCTGCTAGCAGCACAGCGGTCTTTAGTGTCCTACTGAGGCTGCAGACCACCATGGCATTGTCCTGTATCTGTCTGGCTGAGTGGTAGGGGAAGAATGTGCTGAGAGCAGCGGTCAGGCCCTACTGCTGTAGTTACCTCTGCCTAACTCTAAGAGCCTTTCTGTTGCTGTTCTGTCTGGTGCAGAGCAGCAAAGACAGCTTGCCGTGAGAGACTGAGTTCCATCATGCTAAGCCTCAGTTTCTTCTTCAACAATAAAGCTTATATTCTCTCTCATCTCACAGAATTCAGAGTTGAGTTAAAAGAGGACTATCCAAAAGAGGATGTGCAAGCCAAAGCACAAATGCTCAGCCGAGGATGGTATCCTTCCCTTTCCTTGCTGTCTCCCCTGTATGCCAAAATCAATTCAACTCTTCCCTTCAGTTCCAGGCAAGCCCTCCTCACCTTTCAGAGTTTCATCAAGGAGGATCTGATATAAAATCTCTTCATAGACATTCTCAACGTGGATCATATTGGTATGATCTGCAAAGATGAACTGCTCATATTTCTGAAGTTCCTGGACAGTGATAGGAAGATAAAGAAGAAAAGACATCAGGGACACACAACTCAGAACAACACTGAGAATCCATCCCACATCATCAGAATGTCAAGAAAACAACAACTGCTGGTGAGGCTGCAGAGAACAGGGAACCTCTATACACTGCTGGTAGGGGTGAGAGTTAGTTGAGGGACTATGGAAATCAGTATGGGCAGTCCTCAGAAAACTAAAATTAAAACTACCATATGATCCAGATACCAGTCCTGGGTAGGAAGGAAAGTAAGTCAGCCTACAGAGAAACAAGCACACCCACATTTATTGCTGCACTCTTCCTAATAGCCAAGACATGGAGCTAGCTTAGATGCCTATCAACAGATGAATGGATGAAGAAAATGTGGTGTACCAACAAAATGGAATTTTATTTAGCCACAGAGAATGAAACTGTGTCATTTTCAGGAAAACAGATAGAATGGAGAATATCATGTTAAGTGAAATATGTCAGACCCAAAAAGACAAATATCACATGTTTTCTCTCATAAGCAGAATCTAGATTTAAGAAAAATATGAAAAAGACTTAAAAGTAGAAAGGAGACTATTTAGAAAGAGAACTGGGAGGATGTTCACAAGAGAGGGTACATATGATCGAAGTACATTATATACATATGAAAATATAAACAAACACATTAGTTTGTGTAATTGATATATGATAATAACAACAAATGAAAGGGGGAAAAAAGAAGCTAAGACTTGAGGTGCCTGTTCTCAGAAGGGATAAGACAAGGACAACTCACCATCCCCTCCTTGAAGAGCTTGGGAGGATGGCAGGGTGGCCCCACAGGTTAAAGATGCTTAGATAACAACAAAGTCTGGCTGTGTTCCCTTTGCTGTGAGCCTCTGTGAGAAGCCTCTGTACCTGCTACCCGAGATAAGGAGGCACTCAGCCACTGGTTGTTCCCCTTTCTTCTGCATAATGGGAACATGTCCTTATACACTTCAAAGGGTAAAACAGTAGAGATTTTTTTTCTTTTAAATCTTGCCAAAGCTTATCCAGGGATATGAGGCCGCCTTTTTTTTTTTTTCTCATCATAACCAAACTGTTTCCTTCTTTTTTATTTGATGCCAACAGTACTTTACCAAAATATAAGTAATATACAGCAAAATGTATAGAGACTGAAAGTGCAATCCAAAGACATTAAATATATTAATATACTCATGTGATCATAACCTAGGCCCTCTTTCCAGCCTACACTCCTCTAAGAGATAAGTCCTGATCTGACATCTGTCAAGACAGATTTGTTTTTGCTTTTCCATGAACTTTATATAAGTGAAATCATGTACTGTTTGTGTTTACTTTTCAGATTTTTCCACACTGATGCCTAAGACAGCGGCTCACCCTCTATAGATAAAGAGTATCACTATATGGATGAACTGAAATTGTCCATACTCACTGAACATTGACATTTTCCTACTTGTTTTGACTTATGAATATAATAGTTAATGAACATTTTTGTTCATGTTTTGCTTGTATGGACATAAGGTCCCATTTATCTTGGATACCTTGGTATCTTAGATACCTAGAAGTAAGGCTGATGGACCAGGTATAGGTATAGGTTCAACTTTATTAGTACAGGGGCCTTTTTTCAGTTGGAGAGTCAAGGAATTTTCCTCTTCAACTGGCACAGCTGCTGTCCTATTCCAAGATAGCTCAGGCATGAGGCAAAAATCCTTAACCTCCCCTGCTATCCAAATGCCTTTCTTGCTAATAGCATGAGGAGTAGGCAGGGATCAAAATACTCCTAATTATATCCCAGTGATGAGTTCAGTAATTCTGGCACCTAATGATGTCGGTGGAGGATTCCTGTATGCAGTTTTTAGAAAAGCAGGGACTTAGCAATGGGATTGGATGCCTCTGAACCTGATCGTCAGCATTTGTAGCAGGTGACTGAAAACTACCACATTTAGACAACTTTCAGTGCTAAGATATGGGGGCCCAGGATTGTATGGTATTTCCACTGGGCACTAATAGGGTCCCTTTATGTCCACCCAAGAAGAAAGGTGAAATATTGAAGAGACATGAGCTTCAGTGACCTCTAGAGAGGGGAGGGGTCAGGAATCATAAAGATATGGAAGGAGCACTGCTCAGGACACTTGGGACTGCCCGTGGGAGCCTGTGTAAGCCATGCTAACACTCTGAGCCTCTTTTTCTTCTGAGGGGTTCAGGCTCAGGCCTCAGCACTCTTTCATCTTCCCTTGTAGGTCCTCCATCTCCTGTCATGTATCCACCACCAACAACTGAAAGCATGACTCTGGAAAGTCGTCCTGAACCAGTGGGCAAAGCTGAGCACTATCCCCAGACTTCCCATACAGCTACTGCTGTGCTGCCCACATTCCGTGTGCCTGGCTTCCGACTCCACATTGTGAATTCTAGGACAGCAGGGACAGTGATCTGGATCATGTTCTATATGTTGCAGGTAATCCTCTAATTTATCTCCTTACAAATTCCTGCTTTCTAAAAGCTTTTGACACTGACACATAGCCTCTCTTACTGAAAACTCAGGGTCACAGACTCTTTTGAAAACAATATCCCTCAATTAAAAATTGCAGGAGTTGTGGCTACAGGAATAGCTCAGTGGATAAATCACTGTCTTTTCTTCTGCATACCTATGTTCATATCCCTAACACCCACATAAAAGTAGGGTGGGTGTGGTGGCTCGCCTACAAACCCAGGGCTTGGGCAGCAGAAAGTGATTCCCAAGGCATGCTGACTAGCTAGACTGGCTGAATCAGCAAGCTCTGGGTTCTGCAAGAAATTCTGCTTCAGCAAATAAAGTGGAAAGCCATTGAAGAAGACGCTTGATGTCAACCTCTTGTCTCCACAGGCGTGCACACACATGCACGCGCGCGCGCGCGCACACACACACACACACACACACACACACACACACGGATACCTACACACATGTGCATGCAAAAACGCACATATCCATGCATGCCACACACATGTGCACAGGGGGAGAATCTCAAGAGCAACATAGATTGGACACAAACCACTCCTCTCCTCTAGTATTAGAAAACAGGGGGCATAGAAAGAAGGGGAGTTCTCCTTCCACCTCCTCACAGGGAGACATAGCTCTGAGGCCTCCAGGCTGCCCTTGGGAGTGAAGAAGAAACAATCCTAGGCAGCACATCTGTGTGTAGACACATTCTGAAGTAGCTAGTAATCTCCCAGGCTACTGAACTAACCCACTGCCTAAGGCCAGAGGACAGTCATCTAGACCAATTCTTTTCTCTTTTGGTTTTGTCAAATCCTTTTGTACCAAAGAAATGTACTCCAGAAATAAATGCCAAGACTGGATATGCCAATGACTATCTGAAGAAAAACAGCATTTACAGAATGTAAAAATGACAAGAGAAAAGTCCACAGTAAAATAATTCACACAAAAGATTTTAATGTTCTGATGCTTGGAGATGCTCCAAACTGTCAAAAATCCCTTTTAAAATTCTATGAAGCTCTTTATCATTGGCTGTAAGAGGGAACAGGTCTTACAAATGGCCAGGCTCATGAGTCATTTTTGGAATGCAGGAGCAGTCACAGTCATAGTCATAGGAGTGGTTGATGCCATTTGTCGAGTGCCAGCTGTGTTATAGGTGAACGTGAACTGGATTCATCTCTGGTGGTAACCAGCACTGTGACCTTGGGCCTGCCACTCAAACCACTCAGTTTCCCTTACTGGCACAGTGAGGTATGACTTGTTTCTCTTCACATCAAAGGACTGCTGTGAAACTCATTTTTATAATTGATACAAAGTGTTTAATACAGTGCCTGGTACATAAGAACTTAATCAGGTGTTAATGTGTCACTCTTAGGTTCTCAATCTTAAGACAATGCAAGCAAGCTGTGGTGGTGCACACCTGTAATCCTAGCATGGGGGGGGGTGAGATAGGTAAATCATGAGTTTAAAGCTATCCTGGGCTATACAGTGGGATCCTGTTTTTAAAAGGCAGATGGGGAGGCAGGAATAAAGGAAAAGGAGGAGGAGGAGGAGGAGGAGGAGGGGAGGGGGAGGAGGAGGAGGGGGAGGAGGAAGAAGAGGAAGAGGATGATACTCCCTTATTAGCTGAGTTTTATAAAAGAGAAAATGTCGACCAAAATAAGAACAGTGATTTGCCCAGGGACCAAAGCATAAACACAGGTGAACCAGGGCTTAAATACAAGCCTCAAACCAGCCTCCATCTCAATCACAACCATTCTGCATGTGCAATGCTCACAAACAGCTTTAAAAGGAGTCAGAGATCTCAGTGAACTAAAGTCACTGAAGGCAGGAGAACAAACTGTAATCACACTTGAGATCTTTTCTGGGCATGGTGGTCAAGTTTCAGAGCACACTCTGGGCCTATGAGTGCTAAAATGAGAAACATCTTGGCTCCTTTGGTATTCTGTGGCAGCCTTAGAGCTTGGCTCAAATCCAGGCCATTAGCCTTTGGGATGTCCTCTAGTCCAGGAATCAGAAATCCTGGGATCCTTGTGCGCTTTCTGAAACTTAAGTTTACTGGAACACAGACTTGTCTGCTTATTTGTGCATCATCCCTGACTGCTTTTGCACTACACAGCAGAGCTGAGTGGGTCCAACAGAAACAGTCCTGTGAAGCCTAAAATATTTACTATATGACCACCCACAAAAGACTTTGCTAGCCCCTGAACTTCAGAATCAGTGGAAGCAGGGTCTTGAGGGGATGTTTCCTTACTGGTTTGCATGTGGATGCCAGAGCCTTCTGCACAGTAGGAAGTGTGATTTGAACCAGTACCTCCTGAACGATCTTCTTCCGGATGGTGCTGCTGTCATAATCATATTGCTGTCAACACAGAAGCACATGCTAAATAGTAACATTACAATCTGTTAACTTGGTAACTCAGTAAAAATCTCCTCCATCCATGTCATCCCCCTTCCTCAGCCCCACTAATTCTGAGGACTCTTGCAATATCAAGGTCTCAGAGATCTTTTTCTGGAACTTTTGTACAAACTGGGTGTGGGCTGTGAATTCATGACCCATTTCATTCTCCCCTCTTACAAATATGGAAACTGAGGCAAGATCAAAACGAAGAAGTGACATCTGTTTTATAAAGAAGGGTTTCAAACTAGAGAACAAACTTGGTACCTGGGTAAGCACAGGGGAGCCATGATCATCTGTTACCCTTCATCCTACAAGCAGGGTCAGTGGGTTGGAGTGGTTTATACAAGGAGAGAGAGAGGGCCTGGCATTATAGTTCCATTAACACAGTGGCTGACTGTTAACCAAAGAAGTTTAATATCTTGACAGAAAAGAAGAGTTTTTCTATTCTATATTGAACACCCAAACATGGAGATGAAAGTTTGAGTTTAGACATTCTTTCAAACAGATCACAGACAATCTGGATAATTAGCACAGCATGTAAATACAATGGTCCAGTCAAATGAAGAATTGCTAGAGAAAAGAGCACTTACACCTGAGATAATAACTTGGAGCAAAATTATAGCTCTATTCAAACAAACAAAGGTTACCACATGGAAAAAGGATATGAGGAAGGTGGCAGAACCAGAATTACCAGTGGCAAGAACCAGGGCCCAACATCAGAAAGTGTTTTCTTGTGAGATGAAATGCATCATCTTGGAGGTGTCTGAGTACTAGTGAGACCACCCCAGGCAGGAACATTCTTAACACTGGATATGAAATAGAACTTGAGGTACTCTAAGTTCCTTTCAACCCTGAGGCCTGAAGATCGGGAGATATTTCTACTTATTTCCTTTTCTTTCTGCTGAGGCACATGACCGTAATTCTACCTTTTTCTCCAATGCAATTGCTAATGTGTTATTATTTGTATTGCCAACATCAACAGTGCTTTGAATCTCAATGATTTGGCTGCCAGAGTTTGCTCTGGCCTGAGAGTCACTAAGGTTGAGTGTGAAACTCAGGGGCATACTGTAACCTCTATGGGACTTTGAGTTTCTGTTCTGTAGCACTGTCTCAGGAAATCAAGAAGTAGTACAAATTAATGGATGAGGTGTAAGCATAGGTTTAGCTCTAAACTCCATTGCTGACTAGCTGGTTGAGCCCAAGTCAGTCTAGATTTTGGAGGGTCAGTTTCCTCATCTGTATAGTGGGGATATAGTCTAATCTTTTTATAGGTTCTTGCAAGGAACCTTTTGTTTTGCCCCTAAAATGGTTGGGTATGGCAGCACATGCCTTTAATCCCAGGATTCAGGGAGCAGAGATAAGCAGCTCTCTGAGAGATGGAGGCCAGCCTGGTCTACATATCAAGTTCCAGGTCAGCTGTGGCTACAGGGATATCCTGTCTCAAAAAACTGAAAAAGGGTGTCGGGGGGGGAGCTTTAAATAGAACTGGAAAGATGCCTCAGCAGTGAGGAGGGCTTCCTGTGCTTCCAGAGGACCCGAATTTTGTTCCCAGCACCCACACTGGGCAGATTATAACCATCTGTAACTCCAGCTCCAGGAGATCTGATGCTCTCTTTTGGCCTCCATGGACAGCTGCACATATATGACATACAAACACACAGACACACACACAGACATATAAATAACAAAAAAGAACTCTCTAGAATATCAGCTAGAGCTATGAACAGGAAATTTTAACAAGGCTTTAAATACGTACTATATATGTGTATGCTGTTATAATTACAAGAATTTTATTATGCACTGAAACAAGCTCATTTAAAACAATTTCATGTGATAGGTATTTGCCTCTAGGTTTTGTTTTTTATTTAAAATGTTGGCCAACTTGGTGAATTTTACTATATTACAAACTCTTCGAAAACAGAGACTGCACCGGTCTATTTTCATATACCATGCAACACTGGTTACAGTGATTACATTTATCAAGTTGTGAAAGTAACCATATTATTTGCCTGGTAATAGTGCAGAGGCCCTGTGGTCCCTAAAGCAGCCACTAGATGGCAGAAGAGGCATGAAAGTCATGCTGGGGAAACTGCTGGAAAAAAAATGGTCACTGGGGCTTCAGAGAGGAGGAAGGGGGTGGGGGGCGATCAGCTTGAAAGGGAGATAGGGCTTTTCCCTGTGACGAAAGGGAACAGCAATCACAATCTAGGTGGATGCCTACCACAAATCAAGGTAAAGTTCTTACCTTTAAAACACGGAGCTTAACCTTCTCAATGGCAGCTGCTGTTCTGGAAGCCTCTCCCTGGCGGTATGGGGACAGCAATTGCTCAAAAGTGAACACTGCATTCTCCATGAGCTAGAAAACAAGCCAACAAAGACAGACCAGAGTCAGAGGCTGGGAACACTGGCCCCGGGCCTGTCTGGTTAGGCCCCAAAGAAGGGAAGAAATCGGGCACAACTGTGGGATGACCGGGGACCAAAGGGCCTCATCCGAATCCCCATTGTGTAACAACCCTGTGGCCACGGTGAGATAGTGAGAGTTTGAGAAGCAGTCACTGCCACACACGTAAGCATGTATTTCTCTGTATATACAGTATCCTTTTGTTCCCTTTCTTCCCATCATCCTTAAGGGAAAAGCCCAGCGTGGAGGGGTTGAGAGTCATGGGTCTCCTGTGGGCATTCCCCTCCTCCATCCAGATGCAGCCACAGATCAATGCTACAAAGTTGGAGAAAGCTGCAACTCCACATCTAGACAACACAATCACCCTGTGGTACATCCCCTCCACTACTTTCCATCCATACCCCTTCCTTCCTCTGCAAGGCTGGTGTTAGGGTTTGGATGAGCAACGTCCCCCATAGGCTTATGAGCGTGAACATTTGGTCTTCTGTGAGTGACACAGATTTGGAAGGTTACAGAACCTTTAGGAGGTGGGGGCTTTGCTGGAGGAAGTCAGGATAGGAGGGTGAGAGGTGGGGGTTGGGGGAATATAGCTCTGCCCTACTTCCAGAGTGAGTATTCTCTGCTTCCTGGTGCACCAGCACGGGAGGCAACCTAGCCACGTGCTTCTGCTCCATGAACTCCGCCCAATGGACTGTACCCTCTCAAACCCAAGCCCAAATGAGTCCTTCCTCTCCTGTTTCTGCCACAGCAGTGGAAACAGAACACAGCTGGGAGGCGACTTGGAGTCAGGACCCAGGGCAGTAGCGGCTGTCACAGTATGACAGTGACTTATAAGTCAGGAAAAGAAGCAGTTCACGTCTTAGTCTCTGCAGTTGTGCCTGGGTCTGTTTCTCCAGGATCCAGAAATATCAAGTGACTGTTGTTATATTGCTGCCCAATTCCATCATTTGCCCTTTTTGTTATTGTTTTTTCTTTGTTGTTTTTGTTTTGTTTCATTTTTGAGACAGGGGCTCATGCTCCTAGCCTTAAACTTGCTATGTAGGTGAAGATGGCCTCGAACTCCTGACCCTTCTGCCTCTGCCTCCCCAATTCTGGAACTACCAGTATATACCACCATCCACCATTCCTAGCTCATTTGTTCATCTTTGATCCCTTGTAACTTGGATGTTAGATAATAAGACACATCACTAATACTGTCTGTAATTTTTAAGCAAAAAAAATTAATAATTTTACCACAGCATTTTCAAAGGTTACTGAATTTATCCAAGACTTGGTCTTATTTAGAATTTGTCATAACTCTGGATCACTGAAGTGGGATCTTGTACAGCATCCAGTCATAGTAATCTCCACAGCTACCAGAATATTAGTGAAATAGAATTGTGTCCAGTTCCTCCTTTACTTCATTTAGGGAACATTAAAATATGAAAGAATCTATAGCATTCATTTCTGTCTCCAGGCAAAGAAGTCTTCAGAGAGAAAAAGGGAACCTATCAGGTAGACTCAAAAAAATTCAAATATCAGGGCTGGAGAGACAGCTCAGAGTTAAGAGCACTTGCTGCTCTTGTAGAAGACCTGGGTTTGGTTCTCAGTACACATTGGGCAGTTCAAGACTGTCGTAACCCCAGTTCCAGATGATCCAATGCCCTGCTCTGGCCTCCATAGGACCCTACACTCATGTGGTACACACACAGACAAATAGGCACACACACATAAATACAAATAAAAATTTAAAAACTTAAATATGAAGCCTGATAGGTTTCCTTGTAAGAAGGGAGGGAATTCAGCCCATGGGTTCCTGATCCTGATCCTGAGAAAAGTAGAATGGAGGTAGAGGAAGGTGAGAATTTCAAATATATTATAAAATGTAACTACATATATATTTGGAATCACTGGGTCTAGGGAAACTTATCAGTAGTTCTTAAAATATCCTCAAGTGTTTCTAATGTGCAGCCAAAGTTTGAAGCTTTGACTCAATCCATCAAGTAATTATTGGTCAATGTTACTTTATTTCCACAGATATTTATTCTCTGTGATGTTCATCAACATTGAGGACAGATGAAGCCAGCTGGAAGGACAGAATATGTCCTCAGTCAACCTGACTATGGAAATGGGCCCCACTTTCCTGAGCTGCAGAGCACCTCGACCTCACCCACCAGCATGAATTTCTCCCTTGGTTGCTTCTCTCTGTTCTCTCCCTATCCTCATCCATCCTGGATTCCCTTCAGCCCCCACCTCTTGCATGTAGTTCTGAGTCCTCTGGACCACCAGATCAACGTGAGGGAATCTGAAGCGGGTCTGGAGATCCTGCAGGCGCTCCGGAAGCAGGGTGACTTTAGCATAACAAGGTTCCATCTTCACAGAATCCAGTGGAAGTTTCAAAAGCTGGTCTAGATGCTATATTTGGGGGAGGCAAGTAAATTCCTTTAGACTTAAGAACCATATTTCCTGCATATTACACAATACAGTACCTAAATTTGAAACAACCAAGTATACATTATTAACATTCATCTGGGACATCTTCTTTCCTTCTGTAGTTGTCTGGGATAGTTCTATTGCTAGGACAGAAACTCATGGAAGAACCAATCAGGTATCAGGAAGATTCAGGTGCATTAGCAGGGGGTCCAGACTTCTTAAGTTCTTGGCAGACTCCAAGCTCCCAGCTCCAGAACTGGAGAACCAGTCACGCAGCAAGAATTGCTGCTCGGCCCATGAGTCTGCAGAGCTTTCTTTAAGGAATGGAATCTTATTCCATTTTCTAAGCTTATTTTAAATTGCTTTTGAAATTGAACACTGTAGGAGTGCTCAGTCACCAATGGGATGTCTATGTCACCTCACCAGGCTCAGTGACCAGAAGAGAGGCCAAACGATGTTATGAATCAGCGGTGGGGGAGGACAAGAGGGAAACAGTGTCTTTTAAACATGACAGGACCACTGCACTCTGAACTCACTCAGCTGTGGCTGCCTGCACAAGACCTGCAAAGATCAAGCCAGTCAACATTATTCTAGTATGGATGGGGAAGGGGCTCAGGAGCGTCCACCCTTGACTGAGGAGCTACTGACAGTTGATGGCTTCTTGGAAGAGTCAGTTTTCTTTCAGGATGTTGTCCCTGGTGGGTTGAAGTCACTCCAGTGGATGGCTCCATGCTCATGGGTATATGAGTAGCACAAATTGGATTCAGTGAGTTATTTTAAGAGGAGGAGGAGGAGGAAGAGGGAGGGAGGAGGAGGAGGAGAAAAAATTGGGAGAGGCTGGGAAGTCGGAGAGTGGACCTGGGATGACTTAGTGGGAAAGTGGGAGGTGAGTTTGATCAAAACACTTTATATGCGGGTTTGAAATGCTTAGAGACTAAAATGTTACATTAAAATTTGAGCATTTGAAGTTTAAAATAAACAGGAGGATGAGAGACTGAAAGAGGGTTGCTGAAAATGGAGGCTCTCAAAGGCCTTGGGTGAGGCAGGTGAGTGTGAGCAATAGACTGACATGAGTTTTCAAAGGGCCCTTCCCAATGTGCTTTAAAAGGAAAAAGTATTTACTTTAAGAAGTGAATGATGATTGCCTGGCATGGTGGCCCACACCTTTAATCCCAGCACTGAGTACTCTGGAGGCAGAGGCAGGTGGGAGATCCCGGCCAGCCTGCCCTACACAGTGAGTTCCAGGCCAGCTGGGGCAACAGGGGGACCCTGTATCAAAAAAAAGGAAAAAAGAAATGAATGATGGAGAGGTCCACTGGAGTGGAATCAAACAAAGATTTTTTTTTTTAAAGCTCATTCCACACCTTTAATCCCAGCACTGAGTACTCTGGAGGCAGAGGCAGGTGGGAGATCCCGGCCAGCCTGCCCTACACAGTGAGTTCCAGGCCAGCTGGGGCAACAGGGGGACCCTGTATCAAAAAAAAGGAAAAAAGAAATGAATGATGGAGAGGTCCACTGGAGTGGAATCAAACAAAGATTTTTTTTTTTAAAGCTCATTGTTACATTTGCTTTGGTCTCACAATTAGGGATGTATCACTTAAAAAATTATATATATATATA